AACAAAGGTATCATGACGGCGGGTGCTGGCTTACATGTTTAGAGTTTTTTCGCAATGTTACACGAGGGTTATCTACGTATAGCATATTTTCATTTTGAACTGATCGGCCAGAGAGAAGGCAGTTAGTCAACAGCACCGATCGCCAACTCTTAGGCTACTCCTGTTTGACCAAATAGTAGGATTTCATTGTCGCTCTTGTAGAGCAACGCAGGTCTATGAGCCCAAAGAGTTTTTGCGGTTACGGGACGCGAACCCAGATATGCTGATACAAAGTCCAGGCACGCTTACTACTTAGACACACCCGGCCCAGATAGGTGGCTGTCTTACTTCTGGTCAATTGTTCAAAATTATGGATGGCTATACCTGAACTATAGAGGTCTCTGACCTAGATAGCTGTTTATCTCAGGTGCGCTTAAGGTGCCGTTTAGTTTTAAAATTTTTGTTTCGACTTTCCTATTGGGTAAATGTTCATCAGCGACGATAACGTCAACTGTTACTCTAGTAACACTCGTGGAAATTACATGAAGAGAGCCGTGTCGCAGTGTCTGTTCCAACAGAAGTTCGTTCTAACTTTACATTAACGCTGTTTGTATGACGCAGAACCAAAACGTTTGTTGATTAAAAACAGGTAAAAGCGGTCCGACGCATCCGACACACCTAAGCTACTGCCTAAACAACAATCAAGATGAAAGAACAAAAGAACGTTAATCTTAAAATTGGTCTTGTATAATGTATCGAAGCATTGAGCATATAGATGTGTGGCCTTCTATGATATATCATGGCATGTAGATATGTTGTCTTCTATGATATATCATGCCATGTAGATATGTTGTCTTCTATGATATATCATGGCATGTAGACGTGTGGCCTTCTATGATATATCATGGCATGTAGATATGTTGCCTTCTATGATATATCATGACATGCAGGTGTGGGGTCTTCTATGATATATTATGGCATGTAGACGTGTGGCCTTCTATGATATATCATGGCATGTAGACGTGTGGCCTATGATATATCATGGTATATAGATATGTTGCCTTCTATGATATATCATGACATGCAGATATGTTGCCTTCTATGATATATCATGGCATGTAGATATGTTGCCTTCTATGATATATCATGGCATGTAGACGTGTGGCCTTCTATGATATATCATGGCATGTAGATGTGTTGCCTTCTATGATATATCATGGCATGTAGATATGTTGCCTTCTATGATATATCATGGCATGTAGACGTGTGGCCTTCTATGATATATCATGGCATATAGATATGTTGCCTTCTATGATATATCATGGCATGTAGACGTGTGGCCTTCTATGATATATCATGACATGCAAGTGTGTGGCCTTCTATGATATATCATGACATGTAAATGTGTGGCCTTCTATGATATATCATAGCACTAAACATGTAAGTGTGCATCCTTGTATGATATATCGTAGCATTAAGCATGTAAATGTGTGGGCATTTTATTTTGCGATCTACCTACTTGTACGTGTGTCTATATATATATATATATATATATATATATATATATATTGTAATGTACTTGTATATATATTTTTTTATGTTCATTCACTTGTACACATTCACACACACACACACATACTTAAACACTACGACTTAAAACTGTTAGTTAAAACTGGTCCTTTAGAACTGACAGTATGATATCAGATGTGATCTATACAATGTTGTCCCTGGTTGGTTTAAAATCTAGGTTTTTAATAATTAAAAGCATAATATTTTTTGTTCGCCTTTGTAATAATTATCACTGATAGAAGAGCTTCGTTTGTTTAAACACAAATTACTTTCAACTTTTATTTTATGTAATCTAAGTTACTATACTATAGTTAATATATTAAGGAGATCAGGGTGAATTAAAATAACATCAGAAGATCAAGCATAATAGGTTAAAAAAAGACATTGAGTTGTGTTATTCTAACAGCACACTAATCTTGTGTGCTTCATCAAAAATATACATTATAGCAGTGGCACCCAAATGAAGAGGGGGCAGCTGCCTTACCCATGCCTTAACTATTTTCTTTTTTTGATAAATATAAAACGTCTCGTTAATGGCTATGTTTATCCAAACAGGACGTTGGTAACCATGGCCTTCCACAGGCCTCTTCTATGTACTATATCCAAACAGGACGTTGGTAACCATGGCCTTCCACAGGCCTCTTCTATGTACTATATTCAAATAGGACGTTGGCAACCATGATCTTCCACTGATCTCTTCTCCTTGAGGCACAAAGAATTTCCAATGTCGAACCATTCATCCATTTAGACAGACTTTTGTCATAATTCAACATCTGTCTTCCATGGTCCCTGATTCAGTCTTTCCAGTTACAAACAGACTTTCAGTTTCTTCTTTCCTTTTTCTTTCCTTATTCGAAATTTCCATTTGTTTTTGTTTGTTTGTTGTTCTTGTTTGTTTCTCACAACCCTCTGACTCTTTCGTAGTTATTACAATTGATGTGTGAACTCCCAAACGTGCTATGTCAGCAACAGTTCACGTATTTTGTAGAAATTAAGGCTTAACTCCCCTCCCCCCTTCACGATCTCGCTGAAATGTCGCAAATGCATTATAGTCTGTCTATTTCAAAACAGCAGTGGTCACCTTGAAAAAAAAAAAAAGGATGGGTTTGGTTTGAATTTCGCGCAAAGCTACACGAGGGCTATTTGCGCTAGCCGTCCCTAATTTAGTAGTGTAAGACATGAGTGAAGGCAGCTAGACATCACCACCCACCGCCAACTCTTGGGCTACTCTTTTACCAACGAATAGTTGGATTGACCATCACATTATAACGTCCCCACGGCTGAAAGGGCGAGCATGTTTGGTGTGACGGGGATTTGAACCTGCGACCCTCAAATTGCGAGTCGAACGCCCTAACCACCTGGCCATGCCGGGCCAAAAAGGATGGGAAAAAGAACAAACTGACATGTCAATATCACGTATTTGTAACCATAGGATTGTAGCTTGTTAGCAGATAGATTTTCATCTAAAATGGCCTGCTTTATACCTAACGAAAACAGATTGTTGAGCCATAAAGCTAGTACTCAAATAATCCCATCCCATTTCAAGTTCTGTCTTTTCTTAAAATACTTCATGTCAAATCGTTGGTTATCATTATTTTGCTACAGTTGTGTCTTCCTGTTAGTTTTAATGATATCAGAAAACTTTTATTATTTCAATCGATTTATACACCTGCTTTAAGAATCATTTTATGAAACACCGTCAGTGTCTGCTTATCTAATCTGTCGCGTTTTTTTTTAATTAAGATGTATTCATTGATTAAATAGTGAAGCAAACATTTCATAAAAATCTTATGAGCGTCAACGCGTTGCATAGGCTTTGGCAACTGACTTCCTTTTGCTTCACGGCGTTACTATTAATTAGAGAAAAATCATTTTTTTAAAGATGTCATAAAATATTTAACGTACTTTTCTTTTACTATATGGTTTCACTGTGATCTTGTAGGTACGATGATGCTATTTTTCAAAAAAGAACTTCGATTTAAATAAACATGATTCGGAGATTGATGAAAGCGAGTGTTTATATAATTATAGACAATTTAGTCCAATGGACCTGAGTCATTGCTTGATCAGCAATAAAACATAACATACAGTCACTTATAACTATACTGGAGTAAAGCAAGAAAATAACAAAAGCAACTTTAGTGCCGAAAATACCTGCTGTCAATTTAGGTTATTCTGTTGTCAGTTCATCTAGATAAACACAGTTTTGACGAGTAGCGTGTATTTGGTATTTTAAAACCTGAACGGCATCCTATGCGACATACGGGTAAACGGATAGGTCAGAAATCCTAAGGCTCAGGCATAGTCATCCTTAATTTAGAGCTGCTGATCGAAGGGAAGGGTAGCCAGTAAGAAGCAACCGTCATTGACAAGCCTACTCTTAATCGAATGGCGTGACTACTGTCACCTTTTATAACTTACTCACAGCTGAAAGTGCAGAGCAGATTCCCTGACCTTCTGATACGCATGGCTATGCCAGGCCTCAAGACGTTATCCAATGTTATATATATATTTATATAACAGGCTTTAATCATCTATGTAATTATTTGATATTACCTACTTTTCAGTGTCTAATATTCTATTAATGTTCTTTAAGCTTTTATATCTACCTCAATTACGTTTTGCCTGACAATAAATCTATAGTCTTACTATCTATCTATTTACCAATAATCTTGTCAATCGATTTACCTATCTCTGTATAGTTTCACCTAAAATAGCGCTAGGTACCTATAAATAATGTCATTCTCACATGTCAGGTCATTCACAGGATCTTTAGCTAAGCCTAATTAGTTATTTCTATTAAGAGATGTGAATTTTAAGTTTACCCAGTGTAATAAGATTTTCTGTATGACAGTATTAAGCTATGTTAAAAAAACAAACTGGAATTCACAGAGTGGAAATGATTAGTAAGCTCCTGAACATTCAGTAGACAAATAAATGTCTGAGACAAGATAGCGAAGAAGCAAAAGCTGGGAATAAGAAAGTAATATTTTGCTTTTATCGTTTTGGAATACTAATGCAACAAGAACAATTTGTCGTTTCCTGTTTTAAGCTAAACTGACAATAGGATGTGAGAGCCAGTTTGAATTTCTATATTAGTTCTCATTCAAATGACCTTCAATTTACTGATCCTTCATTGACCAAGTGTTAAGCATTCTATGGTCAGACATTAAATTAGATTTTACGAGACGTCCACAAGGACACAAGTAACTCAGGTTCTACAGTAAAGTTTAAGAACAACAAAAATTTTCATGTGAACGATGACACGTCTTGTGTATTCATTTGTGTCTTTTGTGTTTGGAGTCTTCTTGTGAACCATTAGGGGGCGTTCCAAATTAGTCACAACACATTAAACCTCTCTTGTTGTTTTTTGTAAGTTGCGAATGTCAAACTGTAGGTTAACTATAAGTTATAAGTGTATTGTACTTCACTATGTAGCAGAACTAACATGGTTAACAACAACCTGGAAAGGATGGCGTTAGCATTCAACCAGTGCTAAGGCACTGATGTAAGAAGCTCAAACGCCTTTTAAACTGCTTCCGTTTTTCATAAAATGCACAAGAATTATGAAACAAAAGGTGTGTTAAAAATATACTACATTTGTGAGTAAGAATATTCTGTATTTTGTTTTTGTACTGTGAACTTTATATGAGATAGTATTGGTAGATTTTCTTTCTTTTACTCTCAGGAACAACTGGCCCCCAGTGGCATAGCGGAATGTCTGCGAACTTACAACGCTAGAAACCGGGTTTCGATAACCGCGGTGGGCAGAGTACAGATAGACCATTGTGTAGCTTTGTGATTAACTTCAAAGAAACAGGAACAACTTTCTTTAGACCAAGCGCGCCGTACGATAAATCAGAGGAACCAAGGTTCGCGTTCGGTTGCCGTAAGATCTCGCTTCACACTTTAAGGCCGTGATGTATTATAAGAGTGACGGTCAGTTTCCACTATTCGATTAAAGTAGGATAACAGTTAGCAGGAGAAGAGGCTGCTGACTAACTGCTTTCCCTCAAGTTTTATCAGCTCAAAATTAGGGAAGGATAGCGCAGAAAACCTTTGTATAGCTTTACGCAAATATGCAAAACAAAGTTCTTTCTGGAAATGAATGTTGTTATTCAAAGTTTTGTGACGAGGAAATAGAAATTAATAAGAGACAGGGGATAATGTGATGCAAACATACTATGCAAAGCCTGCGTAGTGGAATTTTTGCTTCGAGGGTACAATGTGGTTTGAACCTAGGAAGTGGAACCATCCTCCTTCTCATTCACTAGACGAAAGCAAAATTGTGGGGGAGCTTTTCTCTTCCACTATTACAGTGCAGTTCCTCTGCCATAGTGGTGATTGATACAAACGTAACTAGAGGGGAACTCAGAAGAGCGCATGCCTCCGCCACGCAGCGTTAATCATATTCGGCTCTCAAAAAATACGAAACTCTGTCTGTATGTCCGTCGTTATCAAAGAACATGGACCATTTTTGTCAGAACAATGAGGAATAATATTCTACATATGTCCACCAAGTTTCATTAAAATCCTATCATTCTTGACTGAGTTATAGAGCAAAAATAGTGGTAAAAATCGGTCCCCATGTTAACAGATGGGGATGTTTTTGGATTTTCGAGATCTTGCTGTGACCTTGACCCATCAAAAACTAATCACTTCTAAGTTTGGTCATAATCCAAATGTATACCAGCCTTCCTCCAAATCCATTCAGTCGTTTTCGAGAAATCTTGCTGTGACTTTGACCATTAAAAACTAATCACTTCTAAGTTTGGTCATAATCCAAAGGTATACCAGCCTTCCTCCAAATCCATTCAGTCGTTTTCGAGAAATCTTGCTGACAATTGCACACATACACAGAGGGGAGAAAACATAGCCTCCGTCCACCTTAGGTGGCGGAAATAATGAAAAGCATACGCGTAGAACTATTTATACCAATACAGAAGACCTATGCATGTACAGCCACGAAAATTCCATCCTGTCGTAGTGGGCTACTATTATTAACCCTAACTTCTTTAGTTGTTCCAACTAAATGTGGAGACTTCTAGATTAGCTGACTAGCTAGAAGCGATGTTTAGAATTTTCTAGTTGTTCGGTAGAAGTATCAAGATGTTACTGTGGATAACTCTGTAATCTTATACAACTGAATTATGGTTGAAAATAGCGTTATTATTATTATATCATTACTTGAAGTATGCAGTAGACATATTACAATATATACGAAGAAATTGTGCAACATGATCCCAGGATAAGCGACCCTGTTCTCTCTTTCCTTTCTTTTTTCACCTTCTTGATTATTTTTTTGGGTGGATAAGGGTTTGTTTGGTTGGTTGTAGTTAAGCACAATGGGTTATCTGTGCTCTGCCCACAACGGGTATCGAAACCCGGTTTCTAGCGTTATAAGTCTGTAGACTTACTGCTGTGCCATTAGGAGGCAGGAGGTAATGGAAACTTTTAGACTCCTGTGCTTTGCTCCCCTATGATTGGTAGGGGAAATGCGTTTGTTATGGCCATTGAGGTCTGCCCTCTATAATGATCAACCAATTTAGTTGAATTATAAAACAAAACACAACAAAATATTATAAAATATAACACGTGTATTAGGTTTGGTTGTCTCTACGTTAAGACCTTATTAGACTTTGTTTGTTTGAAGTTAAGCACAAAGCTACACAATGGGTTATCTGTGCTCTGCCCATCACGGATATCGAAACCCGATTTCTAGAGTTGTAGGTCCGCAGATACACCGCTGTGCCACTGGGGGAGGGCACCCTATTAGAAATGAATGTATAAACATCGATTTGCTAAGTCTTCATTTTATTTGCTGCAAAACATTTGGATCAGTTCCAGCACATAAACCAATGTGGTTCGAGCACCTTAATCCATACACTTGTGGTATTATTAACATAGTTTCTGTCGTTCTTGCGTTAGTTGTTTCGTTATATCATTATAAATAGTTATAGTGGCTTTAATATTGTGTCATTAAGAAGTATTCACGTCGCAACATCTTATTTTCGTCTCAGAAAAGTTCTATTTTACAACATTGTGTCGTGAAATATCCAATCATGTTATGTCTTGAAGTATCCAAGTCTTAACATATTTTCTTACAAAACTCTGTTAGAATTTTCTTTATGTGGTTTAAGCTTAATACGACAATGTTTAACATATTTTAAAGTTGAAAAGTATGCAATTAGAGAAATTTTTTTTTCTGTAGAATTTTATAAACTAAAACCAAAGGTTTGGTATGGAAAGCTAACCTTGCAACGAAACAAATTTGCTAGGATATCAAATGTTTGTTTCTTAGCGGTGAGTTTTCTTGTTGGGCAATAACATGTCCAAAAAAAGAATGTTATGATTATCGTTCAACCAGATTGAGACCCCGTTTCTTTAAAGACCTCATAAACCCGCTTTCATCTTTATCACAAGTCGATCATTTTTATAATTAGTCTCAACCTATATCCACTCCATATCTCTATGTTTAAAGACCCCGAACACTTATGCACAATGTCCTACGTTTCTGTCCTGTTCATATGCATTTCATTAGCAAGTGCTTCTGAACATGTAGGGCCTGGCATGTCCTGGTGGTTAGGGCGCTTAACTCGCAATCTGCGGATCACGGGCTCAAGTCTCGTCATTGAACATTTTCGTTATTTCAGCTATGAAGGCGTTAAAGTGTAACGGTAATTCCCATTTTTCGTTGGTTGAGAGTATCCCAAGAGTTGGCAGATGCTAGTGTTGACTAGTTGCCTTCCCTCTAGTCTGTCACTTCTAAAACTACGGACAGCTAGCTAAGATTCCCTTCGAGTAGCTTTGCGCGAAGTTCATAAAACAAACAAACAGAACGTCAGTCCCATAGATAAATTAATTTAATTGTTCTCATGATTACGATCACGTAAGTCAAATTATTAACTAATAACTTTTTAACCGTATCAATTTTTATATGATTACTATTTTATAACTAGATATTAATTACAAATTAGTTTTAATCCTATGTTTCGGCTGCTAATCTTCTCGGGGCTGGATTAAGGAGGCGAATGGATGCAATTGCAATTGCCCTCCCCCCGCACCTAAGAGGCCTCCCGACTAAAAGAAAAAGATATAATAAAAAATCTGGCTATCTCATTGAAAAGCATATATATTTGCATCTGTGTCAACATAACAACAGTGATTTTATCATTTCATATAAACCTATTATTTTCTACTTTTTTCATTAACATGTTCCTACAACTTGTTTATTCATAAATATTGTTTGGCCATTTAATAAAAATATCGTTGACATTACTTTAGATTCTTTCCCCGCTGATTTTTCCAAGCCCGTTCCCTTGGCTGTGGTTTCGCTAGATAGTAGATAGGGGCAGTGGGAATCTCGTTAATCCATTCTATATATTCTATATTATCTATCCATCTGTTGTGTTTGTGTATTGCTGTAACTGCAGTTAGTAAATAGTATTGAATTGTATTTGACTTATTTATGAAGTTCAGTTCTGAGACCCCTACAAAATTTGCCTCGGGCTTCCCAAGTCCGTAATTTTGCCCTAAATCTGCTGCCATCTTCAAGGAAGTCCTTCCAAGGATTTTTTTTTGTATTAGTAGTGTCCAAAATTCGATTCTGGATCTTTCTTTATAGAAATTCTGGTAAATTATCCACTCGACTGTGGTTTCATTCATTAGAACTGCAGTCACCCAACTATTTAAATATTTTCAAGAGGGATATCCCCCTTAGAACTGCAATCATCTACCTATTCGAATATTTTCAAGAGGTATGTTACCCATTAGAACATGAATGATCTAATTATTTGAATGTTTTAAAGAGGGTTGTCTAGGTTTTGCTGACTTCAATGCAAGGTTGCATGAGTGTGTGTTATCATCTAGGTGAAAGAAAGCTTACTTTTTTTTATTTCTCATCTGTGGTTCATGTCCTATTATTTTACTTTTATTCCATTTTATCGTAGGGTCTTTTCTGTCACGATGGGCTATGGCAGATAGATCGGTATTACCGAGACTTGTAAGTCGATATTTGTCCTCAATTCTAACTTTTGTTGGTATTTTTGTTTCTCGAATGTATCTGAAGCCACATTCACAGGGAATGTTGTAAATTGTGTTTTTTTCTTAGTATTGAGCCTTTAAACGACCTGGTGTATATCGTTTGCGATTGTATTGTGTTGTGGCCTTTGAATAACGTTCTGATTTATGCTGTTTATACATTCTCTATATATTTTCAGAGAGACCTCTGACATATAAGAATATGTCTGTAATTTTCTTCCTTATTGTCATTCGTTTTTATATTCTTTATTTTTTTTCTTCATCAACTGTTGTGGATAATTATTGTCAAGTGAGGGTTGTCGTATTATGTTTTTCTACTTTCTTAGTTTTATCGGTATCACAAATCTTGCTTATTCTGAAAACTAAGCAGTCTATGACGCCTATCTTTACAGTGATGAAGTGTCTGATTTCCAAAGGATCAGATAAGTTATATTAAAACAATTTTGGATTATCACCACGTCATTGCAATCCATGACGTCCTGTCATACTCTATTCTTCAACCGTACGTCTTTATAATAACCCTACAGTGTAGTTTCTATTGCGAAAGGCTATATCGTAAGGCTGTAATGTTTAAAACACACCACTCTTCTCTGCGTGTTTTCCATAATCTATCAAGTGTACCAGGATGCCAGTTTCCCAGCGTCCGTTTCAACAATCCAATCGCATAGAAATACATAAGCGACTTGATCAGTATGTCTTGATACCCGTTTGATTCTCCAGCTGCTTGAGGTATGCGATGGTTGAACGAGAGGTACGATTGGAAACCTTATATTGGTAAACTCGTATCCTCTTGATTTCGTTTCCAAACTGAGATCCCTCATGGTTATGTTGCGTACTGTATTATTGCATGAGTCACTTGGACGGCTTTTGCCACTGATCTTTGAGTTAATGTTACAAGACGCCGTATTTTTATTTACCAGGGAAAAGATACGACTTGTTGTTAGTCTTTTCCTGAATGGTCCTTCCGAAGTTGATCCATATTACTCTGTTTTCTAGAGTCATTAGTTACAAGATATATATCTCTGTCTTGGAAATTCCAAATCCCCAATTCGAATAAGTCTTTATGATCTGAGTAAATGAATATTTTGCGTCGGAAAGTGCTGTTACATATCCTTCACAAAATTGGTCAATTTTCAGTGACATCACACTACTGACAAAAAGCCAAATAACATCAAAATGTAGTCCTTTTCGTTCTACTGTGACTTTTTATCGGCCGTAGTTGTAAATTTACTTGTTGATTTACGTATTTAAAATCGTTTAAATATAAAGTACTCGACTCTATATAATCGATGTATTTACCTGTGTCTATGGGTCTTCTGTTCATTCCTTTAGTATAATAATTATGTGTCTTTGTAACCTCAACGATTGGATAATTGGAGTTGATTGTGGTTTCTATATCTATTCTGAATTTTATCGCAGAAGAATGTCTGTTCAGGTGATTCACGATTTCTTGAATTTTGTCTGTAGCGTGTATCCATGATTACGAATATATTGTCAACATATTCGAGCCAGATTTTGGGTCGTAGAGCGGCTGTTTGAGGACATGACCTTCAAAGTGCTTCATGTAGAGGTTACGGAGTACTGGTGATAAGGGCGAACCCATGGCTAGGGCTACATATAAGTATTCTTGTTGTTCGTAGTGTTTATCTTCATGTTGTAACAGAATATTGTGAGCTCTAGTTTTGTAGAGCTTATAAGTTGTTTGCATTCCTTAAGAGTTTTATCGTTTTCATGCTGTTGGTCAGTATTTGTAGAAGGTCAGGGATTTGTACATTAGTGAACAGGTCGGATACAGCGAAACTGATCATTGTGTATTGTTTTATTATCGTTGTTACTTTTATAATCTCCACAAAATAGGCTGAATTCCCAACACACTGAGATGTTTTACTTATAAAAGGTGATATTATTTTTACATGCTAGAGATAGTATGGGGAATCTTTGCAATAAACTATGTGACAGAAAGAGTAGCTTTGAGTGTGGATTTTAGATAAATCACTGATGTGTGAGTTGATGTTGTGTGTACTGTTAGTTGTTTGTCTGTTTTGCTCTAAGTTATTTCTGATTTTTCTTGAGGAATTAGTTAATTTTCTTCTCTGTATAAGTGATTGGATTAGACTTGATATTCGCGTAATGACCATCTTCAACTAGAGTTTGGATATGGATGGAGCATTCCTCTTTGTTTTTGATTATAGTAGCATTACCTTTGTTTTACACTTGTTATGTTGTCGTCTTTCTTCGTTTTGGTGGACATTTTTCCTGATGGAGTGGTATTATTGTTTGTTGTTAAGCGCAAAGCTAAATATTGGGCTATTTGTGTTGTATCCACCACAGGTATCAAAATCCGCTTTTTAGCGTTTTAAGCCCTCAGACGTACCATTGAGCCACTTGGAGAAAAGAGCGGTATTATTCATGGCTTTCTGCACTGCTCATTTTATTTGGATTTTTCTTTTTTCTTTGCCCCCCCCCCCAGTGGCACAGCGGTACGTCTGATGGCTTATAACGCTAGAAACCCGGTTTCGATACCCGTGGTGAGAAGAGCACAGATAGCCCATTGTGCAGCTTTGTGCTTAAGCACAAACAAACAAATATTTTTTCTTCTTCTAGACTGTAAATTATCTTTTGTAACTGTAGCTGTGTCTAAGATGAGAATTTTGTATTGGATGAAGTTTAGTCCTTTACTTGGTACACGTTCTTCAGGTTTGGTTGATGGTTGTTAACTGAACTTTATTACTGCATGTTTATGTATGTCTATAGAGTATTAGGGGACTTATTGTTTTGAGAATCTGTGAGTAAATGTTGTTTTTTTATGTGAATTTCTTTAGTATGTACGTGTGCGTGGGCTGGTATTAACTACTCTTACCTTTATAGTCTGTTGTTTTAGTTAACTTCTTATATGCGTCGTGAACGTTATTCTGTATCTTGTGTATATTTATATGATAATATTTACTCCTATCTTAGAGCATGACTTTACTTTTTTTTTCAGTTAATGTTTGGCATATTGAGGTTTTGATAAGTAATATAACATTACGCCCTTGTTTACATTTATGATATCAGATCGCCATAACCTTACCATAAGTATCTAAATTATCTGAAATTTTATTTCATGATTTGCACAACCAGATTGATCTTTCAGGATATCAGTGGTGTTTATATATTAATGAAAGTTTCATACAACTTAACTAGGCATCGTTATTCTGCATAAAATATTTATAATACTAAACCACTTAATAAAACATCACAATAATAAATACATTATTATATTATAAAAGAACTAGGTTTGATCGTTTTAATTAAAAACTATCGCTTGTTTTAATTATTTTGTTTTCCTACTTGAATAGTGACTCATTAAGTATTTATGTGCGCGTTTTAACTATCAGGCAACGTGTTTTAAGTTAAGTCGAATGACAGATTCTACATTCTTGTTCAGTCCAAATGCAGTGTGACTCTACATCAATGACAGCTATCCTCCGAGTTTCTACTCCTTTCCGAGGGCGGGTTTACGCCCTAGGTCATCCCAATGAATGCTATGCTGTGACGGCAGGGGACAAAGGAGAAATCGCCATCACACTTCCGCTGCACGGGCGTATATGTGGCACTAAGAATTGGGTAAGAATATTATAAAGTCGAAGTTCAATCACACGTGGATTCATTCTTAATAAATTAAAGGCCTAAAGAAAATGTGAAGCCAAGAACTTTAGAATGATTAGTTGGAAAGTTGATTAACTATTATGATACTTTTACTGAATAGTATGTATACTTTATACTTTAAGAAGGGAGAACGGCAGTTCTACAATTCTAGCTTAATTATTTCGGAAAGAATCTCAACAAAAACGATCTTTTAAGTGATCTGAATAATTCAACACTACGTAACATCAAGCTCGAATTGCCATTTGTATTAAAATTGGAATACTTGTGTAATAAAGGACGAATCATATTTTAGTACAGGCAATATTTTAATCAAATCTGTTTTTGTAGTGCCGGTCCATGAAATACACTACCCACAAGAATCATGAGCTTTGTTTTAATTTGTATATTTCTAGGTTATAATTTTTTCCAATTTAGCTGGTTTATTGTAGAGAATTACATTAATCCTACTTAGGGCTTGCAAGTTTATACACCAATGGTTCCTTATGTAATAGGCTTTTATGAAAAATGACCTAAATTCTACAAATCAAAAAGCTAGTTTGGATTGATTAGGAAAAATGTTTACTGTTGAGGTAATGTTCGGTTTATTGAATACTTTTGCTGGTAAAAACCAATTATGTAACTGAAACTGAAGTTTGCAGAGCAGTCAAACTGATTCAGAGAGGCAACACTCAGACTGCTTCAGGAAGGCCACACTCAGACTGAAGTGGCAGACGTCATGGGAGTGTCACAATCTGTGCTCAGTAAATTGTGGCACAGACACAAGGCCAAGGGTGAATGCACCAGGAGGCCAGGCGTGGGTCGCAGAAGGACTACAGGTGCAGTAGACGATCGACATCTGCGGAATTTAACCATTAAAATAGCACCAGCAGAGCCCGGGCCTCAGGAACGAGCTTCAGCAAGCCACTGGAGTACGTGTATCGTGCTCTGCTCAACGGTCAAGAACAAGCTTCGTGAGGCTGGACACAGTTCCGGAACACCAGTTAGAGCCCCTGTTCTAGCTCTAAAGAACCGAACAGTCCGGCTGGCGTTCTTCCGGGCTCTTCAGCAACGGATCCCTGTATTGTTCACAGGTGAGAGCAATTTTTGTGTATCTTCAAATGCTCGACGTATGAAGGCCTGGAGACGTGAAGGAGAGCGATATTCGTTCTGTAACACTGTCCACCATGATGCAGGGGCGTACAAATCCTTATGTGATGGACGGAAGGTTCCTGACAGCAAGATGTTATGTGGATAAGATACTGCTACCCGTTGTTCGTCCTTTTGCTGGTGCTGTCGGGGATGAGTTCGTGTATCAGCAGGATAACGCGAGTCCTCATACCACCATTGAGCATGTGTGAGACTTGCTAGGGAGAGAAATTAGAAGCAGACAACCTGCTTCTATAACTGTCTAGGAGCTCAGAGCTGCCCTCATCCAGGAGTGGACTGTGCTGCCCCAGTAAGTCAGTAGGTCATAAACAATAAGGGAAGACCTACCAGCTACTAAACATTCTTTTTGTTAAGTTTTTAATCTTAATAATTTATTTTTTTCTCTGATATGTGAGCATCTAAATATTGATATTTTTTGTTAATTTTGCTTTTTTATTAGTTGTAAATTAATTTTGGCTTGATATTGTTTACTAGTGATATTTGTAATAAACAAGTTTCGTCAATACTGAACATCCCTCTGTGTTTATTTCTTTAAATGTTGAACAAAAAATGTCAAACCTCATTATCTTTTAATTTGTATGAGTAATGTAGTTGACAACACTTCTCCCTTCCTTCTTCCCACATCATTTGCATGGTCGTAATCTGAAATAGGTCCTGAATTTGCACTGTACCTGATGAGTGGGAGAAGAGGTTAAACTTTCACCTGACCCTGACGTGAAGCACAGCACTGAAACATAAAGACAGCCTAGATGATAATGACGTAAAAACTACACTGATTTTCTGAATCCTGTGATTAGCTAACATTGTCCGTCATGAAGGCTTGTAAATATATATATATCTATAAGTTACTAACACAAAACTAATTAATAAAATGAGTTACAAAAAAGTACAAGTGTTTTTACATTAATGACCCCTGACAGCGAGACGTTACGTTACTGCGTCTTTACTGTACATTCAATTCATAACTTCATACAAAATCTCATTTAATTTAGCTAGAGCAAATGTGGTTACCTAATACAAACTCCATCGCTTAATTATAGTACTATAGCATAAATATCTATAGCTACCTACTTTGTATATTTTACGAATTTAACAGTTATAAGTTATTTCTGCTATATTAACTATTTAATATTTACCTAAAGGAAAGAATAACTAAATAATAACTGGATCAAACTTTTCCCAACATTTCGTTATTAGACCTTACCATAATAATGAATTATAAATGATTTAGATAAAATTAATAATAATTAACATTTCACATACTTAATCTTTTTTTAGACATAAACCAACAAAGATGAAATGAACAACAACTGCCTAGTTCAGAGTGACACTTGTAGAGGAAGTCGTGAAGGACTAACCTATTAATGTAGCTCAGGTAGCAAAGATGGCGTTTCCAGAGACGAAATCTCTGAACTAAACATTTACAACTTTTTTTTTGTTCAGAATAGTTGTTGTTTATGCAATTAATACTATGTCTGCCCTATCTTAGCCGGTTGAATGAGCTCTGGTATTGAACGAAAGGTCTAGTCGACACTGAATATGGCACATATAGTGTGGCTGACATATTACTAAATACTCTTCTTTTTCACTCATATGTTCTCAGAATTGAGTCGACCACGTTATGCCTGTCTAATTCCTCCTTTCCCTAGCTGAAGTAATATCAGTTCACACTGTACCAGTTCTGTTCACTCAGTTTGATAATAGTAATATCAATAGGTGTTCAGTAACTACTATATCTGTCATATTCCATTCGACCTGAGGAACCTTGGTACTGGGCGAAAGACCTTGTCAACATTAAATATAGCGGATACGATGTGGTTTGGATATTATTATATATTATTTTTTCATTTCACTAAGAATTTCTTATTCATAATACAGTTCTGCCTTCTGTGCACATGATGAGTTGACGAAGTTCATTCAGGCAGCCTCAAGGTGTAACACATAATTCATGTTCGTTATTAGATATGCATCAATGCACATTTTTAACGTGGGAAACAACCAAGGTCTGCATGGTTTTGGTAAACTAATAACCAAGAAATATGCTTAAATCTTTGTTTTGTTCATTATCATAGCAAGGACAGATTTATATTCACTAATAAAAACGATGTGTTTCTATTTATTTCAAAGATAAATAGTGTTTTTCTGTTTCTGTCTATTTTTTTTATAATGTGTCAAACACTTGGATAAACATCCTCAAATACTAAGTGAGAAATAACTGAGACAAAAATTCATCTTATTCATTTGTAATTACAGGGAAATGGAACATTTACTAATAACGTAGTCGTGCAACACCATCCAGTTGTTCTAAGAAACACCGACCGCCGAATTGAAGTAGCCTGTGATTATGAAGAGGTAAAAAGAAGAGTGAGGGGTGGAAAAAAAGTTGAGGAGGGGTAAATATATTTTATAGTATTCTCAAGAAAACTTGTTTGTTTGTTGTTAAGAGCAAACCTACACAGTGGACTGTCTGCGCCGTGCCTACTACAGGGATCGAATCCTGAATTTGAGCGTTATAAACCCTCAAAGCTACCGCTGAGCCACCAGCGGGGATGCATTGAAATATACAAGTATATGCTGTTTTATGCTGATAATAATATATTATATAAATTGTTGTCACTTTAAGGAAGAAACCTTAAGAATATATCCACAAGAGTTACATTAAAATGTTCAATGTCTTTTGAACAAATAGATTCTTACTAGTTTGTTTTATTTACAGAACTTATTGAGTTTATAATAATTCTAGCTTTGGTTCTTACTCCTACTTTTTCATAGTTTTTTGTTAACAGTATTTACACTTAAATCGTGGGTGTCACGGATTATATACCTTTAGTGTTAAATTGGTCCCCTAGTGATTCATCGGTAAGTTTACGAACTTACAACGCTAAAACACGGGCTTCGCTTCCCCGAGGTGCACGGAGCACAGACAGCCTATTGTCTAGCTCTTCGATAAAACAGACAGGCAAACCTAAACTGTTAAATTGTGGGTTCCACGTACATGTATTATATTATTTGTAACTTTGCAGAACAAATTTTAATTACTAACTTTATTTTAAGAAGTTATTCTTAAGCTATCGTGTTTCTTTGGCTTAAGTAAAATAATGATGCCATTATGAAATTGACTATTTAGATATTTTGATATGCCAATGTTTGCAGATATATGTTTAATTTAGGAGCTATGTTTTATACAGATAATTGTACTGTATTCACTAATCGTCCAGAGTTTTATACAGATAATTGTACTGTATTCACTAATCGTTAAGAGTTTCATTCAGATAATTGTACTGTATTCACTAATCGTCCAGAGTTTTATACAGATAATTGTACTGTATTCACTAATCGTCCAGAGTTTTATACAGATAATTGTACTGTATTCACTAATCGTCCAGAGTTTTATACAGATAATTGTACTGTATTCACTAATCGTCCAAAGTTTTATACAGATAATTGTACTGTATTCACTAATCGTTAAGAGTTTCATTCAGATAATTGTACTGTATTCACTAATCATCCAGAGTTTTATACAGATAATTGTACTGTATTCACTAATCGTGCAGAGTTTTATACAGATAATTGTACTGTATTCACTAATCGTGCAGAGTTTTATACAGATAATTGTACTGTATTCACTAATCGTGCAGAGTTTTATACAGATAATTGTACTGTATTCACTAATCGTCCAGAGTTTTATACAGATAATTGTACTGTATTCACTAATAGTCCAGAGTTTTATACAGATAATTGTACTGTATTCACTAATCGTCCAGAGTTTCATTCAGATAATTGTACTGTATTCACTAATCGTCCAGAGTTTCATTCAGATAATTGTACTGTATTCACTAATCGTCCAGAGTTTTTCTGATTTGAGGTTGAACTTTACTCGAAGTGTTTTAATAAAGCTTTTACAACCGGTTTCGTGACGTAAGTGTCATTCTGTAAGTATTCCTGGAAAATAGCAATGTTAAAAGTATTAAAATAAAATACTGGGATATAAATAAATACATAGACTAATCTTTTTTAGTACCTATAAACTAAAAATCAAGATTTGAAGATGAAGCTCACATTAGAATATTAAATCCCGTATTGATAGTTTTCTTTCTGAACGAACGTTTACGTACATTTAGTTTTCTTTCAAATGTCCCCCAATGGGACAGAGGTAAGTTTATTAACTCAACGCTAGAATCCGGAGTTCGATGCCCTGCCGTGAACACAGCAGATAACTAAATGCGACTCTGCTCTAAAACAAACAAACAAACAAACTTTTTCAAACTAACGTTATTCGTTCATATTACACCCTCTATGGTTTAATAATGTACTCATTATTGAAAGAGGTTTTTAAATGTCTGTCTCCCGTTTAAAAAACTGTGCACGCAGGCTAAGCTCAACATTCTCTTTTGAAATGACGGGAGAACAGACATGAATAATGTTGATGCCAAATTTTATTTCGCAAGCAGGATATTCTACAATAAATTATTAGGAATTAAGCACACTACCATTCACATTTCAAAATGTGACGTAACTCAAATAATATAAATGTAGATTTACCGTATGTTATTGTTGAGCGACTCTTAGCATGACGGAAATTCAGCGGGCGGTATAAGTAGCTCAGAGCTTTGACTCTGAGTGAAACCAAGAGTGCAACACAAGTAACCTTTTTAAAGTCCATGAAATGATTTAAATTGATAGATTAACTTAAACTTTTCCCGTCACTGGGGACGGGTACATTTGCTTGTTTTTCATAAAACAAAAGTCGATTTAATTTTTCCTTCCAGGTCCCAATTAGGAATACATTGAAAACGTTTGTTTTAAATTACCAAATGTTTGTTTAGTATATTCAAACTTTACTTGCTTGAAGAGAGGTGTATATATTGAAGTACGACATGGTGTTTGATTTTTATTTTGATTTAAATAGTTAGCTTGCTCTGATCGTAATTTAATATTAGTTCATATAGAGTCATAACTTTTCATTTGCCCCAACATAACTCTTGTTACTTATCACACCCAAGTAAGTATAAAGTGAGTTTGAAGTTACAGTTATATCAAGCATTAATATAAATTGTTTTATCAGCAAAACTACGTATAAATTTTACTTCCTTAACTTTTTCGACGTAAATTACAATTAACTCATTCACATATATAAATTTATTCAATGGATCTCGAGGTAACTTTTATAAAGAGTAATCAGCTTAAATTTTCAGACGTTTTTTTTGTTGTTTTTCAGACTGAACTCCATAATTCTGTAAGTTGTTGTTCAACACATTTTAGATTTACATTCGCACTTGCATAATGGGTGTATTTAAACTTTTGCTCAAAAATCTTAAAACCTCTAGTAATTACGTTTTAAGGCCATTTTAAAACTAAATTACAAGTAATGTTTAACTTGGTAGGGCTAATATAGCTGCTGTAAAAACATAACGATTGGTGAGAATTAATGGGTTTATAATAAATATCAGTTAACAAACATCATATTGAAATAATGTTTTATTTTCAAGGTCCTGGTGTGGCCAAGTAGTTAACATGCTGTGCTGGAGATCGAGAGGTCCAAGGTTTTACTTTCAGTTGTAGGCGCGTTATAAAAGTTACAGACAATCCTATTATTCCGTTCAAAGAACTGGGCAAACCGTGTGACGACGGATGCTACTAGTTAGCTCCCCCTCTCTTTAGTCATTAGTTTAAAATTATGTGACTATGCCTGAACACTAATAACCTCTTACTTGGCGCTTAACCCACATGCGCATAAGGAGCGTACACGTTTAAAATTCCGATTTCAACTTGTATATTCAAAATTACCTAAGACAGTTGTTTCCTATGTGAGGTTACTTTCATACTCTTAGCAGTGTCTGTGAGTTAGTGACAGATTTAACCAATTATTTGTATGTTGTTAAACACAAAGCTACACAATGTTTGTTTTTTTTAGCATGATAAACCTACAGACTTATCACTTAGCTATTGGAGGATTAAAATCAATAAGACAATTATCTGAGACTTTAACGAAACCTTCCAAAAGTATGTTAATTGAATGTATTTCAAAACTATCTTGAAAACTGAATGACTGTTATTTGTTCTTTTTGTATAACTTTGATTATTTCTGTCAATTAATCAATGTCCTGAATCCCGTGAAAGTAATGGTACTCAGCTTCCATTTCTGGATGTGTTGTTTATAGTATCTAAGTACTGATGGAGCCTACTAAATGTCATACTAAGTACTAGTTTAGCCTATTAAATGTCATACTGATGTAGTTTACTAAATGTCATATTGGGTACTAACGTAGCTTACTAAATGTCATACTAGGTACTGATGTAGTTTACTAAATGTCATATTGGGTACTAACGTAGCTTACTAAATGTCATACTAGGTACTGATGTAGTTTACTAAATGTCATATTGGGTACTAACGTAGCTTACTAAATGTCATACTAGGTACTGATGTAGTTTACTAAATGTCATATTGGGTACTAACGTAGCTTACTAAATGTCATACTAGGTACTAACGTAGTTTACTAAATGTCATACTAGATACTGATGTAGCTTACTAAATGTCATATTGGGTACTAACGTAGCTTACTAAATGTCATACTAGGTACTAACGTAGTTTACTAAATGTCATACTAGGTACTGATGTAGCTTACTAAAATGTCATATTGGGTACTAACGTAGCTTACTAAATGTC